GTGGGGAGGGAAGCAGAAAAATGAGGAGCTGATGCCAGGGGCTTAGGTGGTGAGCAAGTGTTTTGAGAATGATGAAGGCAATAAATGTACAAATGTGCTTTACACAATTGATTTATGTATGGATTGTGATAAGAGTTGTATGAGCCCCAATAAAATAATTAAAAATAAATAAATTTATATATATAAATTCTAGCCCACAGTCAGCACCAGTCCCATATAATAGAAGGCACAAATGCACAATATTACAGGTACCAAAAGGTAACTGCTGACCATCCCTACCACTCCACACAATCTGCAATGAAAGGAATCAACATTTTCATTCGGAAAACATACAATTTTGGCCATTTCCAAGCCCACCTGGAAGCGCACACCCACCTCCCTCATGATACAAACAGTCCTCTCTGGAGAGTCTGACAGTGAGAGGGATGCAAGATTAAGGCCCACAATGTCAAAGTCACTTCCCTCAGCAGGGACCCTCAGGATCCTTGCCAAGACCTGCCTGCTTCACGTGCCGACCAAGAGTAAAGAGTAAACAAGAGTGCAGGAATGCAGTGTGGGGAGGGGGGAAGTACAGTGAGCCAGAGGCCCCATTTCAACCTCCTAGCAGCTACCTTAGGACGAGGCGCCCCGGTGGCATAGTGGTAAGGTGTTTGGCTGTGGCCTGCAAGGTCGGCAGTTGGAAACCACCACCAGCAGCTCCCGGGGAGAAAGACGGGGCAAGGGGCTTTCTACTCCCATCGACAGTTGTGATCTTGGAAACCCACAGGGATGGTTCTACCCGTCTTGGAGGGGCGACTGTGAGTTGACATCAACTCGACGGCAGTGAGTCCAGTTCCGCTGGGTGACTCAAAGTCCAGGTACAATTCACTGTCACGGTTGCGCTCATTTAACCCACGCTGAGAGAGCCAGTGTGCCCTCCTTTCAACATAGAATCACTATTGACACACTGAGACACTACTGTCCCCGCCCGCATATGCGAGGCTTCCAGCGGCCTTCTGATTTACAGCAGCAGCCCGTGTCCAGGAGGTTCCCATCCTCGTTCCCTCCCTGCTCCCCGACATGATTACCTTCCCCGTTTGAGGGATCGCGTTTTTCATGATCCTGGCCACGTTGGCGATGGGAAGGTAGATGTCCTGTTCTCGGAAGCTCTCCTTTGAGCCATTTGTGTCTTCATGATCGTTCATGCTGTCCTCCGTATCTAAAGAAAAGCACTAAGTGTAAAGCGTCTTTAACGTTCCCTTCGAGATTTACTTGGCAACTTCCGGAAACCGCTGAGTCAGAGCATGCTGGTTCACCCCAGCACCCTGTGGGGAATTAGAAAGGGGAGCAGTGCTCCGCAGTTTTTTCGGGGCCAACACTGAGCCTAGTCATGGAGACCTAACCCACTGCCAGGAACATTTTCCCTCCAGTCCATCTACTAAAACCCACTCTACCTGATCTTCAAGAAGCTCAGAAAAGGTCACTGTACCCCAGCAGGGATCCCTCCTTCCACAAAAGACCCCCATCCCTTCTTGGGGTCTTTTCTCCACCACATTTTGTAATTCCGTCTCTGAGCTCCCCTATTAGATGGTTGTTACTTGATGGCAGGGGTCAGCCTGTGTCCTCCGAGGACTCAGTACAACCCCTCCCACTGAGGAGCACCTCAGGAATAACGGCTGCATTACTCATCTATGCAACTCACGCATGATCGTGAATTCTGAGTACTGCTAGATTTCTGTTGATGCCCATTCCAAGTCACATCTATACAAAGTGACAAACAGGCCTTGAATATTACGGACTCACTTGGGTTATTGTTAATGTAATTTTTTTTTCTTGTGTGGTGACTATAAATATATGGAACAAGAAATCTGTGTACAATTCAGTATAGTTACCAGTTTGTTTGTTTTTTAACAAGTTAAAACGGTGACTCAATGGTTCTTATAAAAAGTGAATTTTCAAGCTATACAGATTTAGGTGCTTTCAAGGGATCATGGCTAAATGCAATATCCCGTCCGCAAAAAGTTCACTCTTGTATGTATTAAATAGGAAATGCACTTAAACAGACCCACTGTACATTGCTGGAGTTTAAAAATCACTCAACCAAAATTAATACTCGATTTGAGTACGTGTTTGAGAATGAATTAACTGCCACTTGTACCAAAGAGATTTCCATCTACTTCCGCCGGTCTTAATTTGTTTCTGTTTAATTTTTTTCTACAAATCAGAAGAAAATATGTATTTTTATTGGCCGGCTTGATATTGCCATTTTAACACCAGAGAAAGGTCACATGTAATGACCCAATAATAGCAACGCACTGCCTTGGAGCGCGGTCCGACTCATGGCGAGCCTGGAGGACAGGCCGGAACTGCCCCTGTGGTTTTCAAGAGTGTAACTTTTCACAGGGTAGAAGCCTCATCTTTCTGCCACAGAATAGCTGGTACTGTTTGAACTACTAACTTCACACTTAGCAGCCTGATACACAGCCCCTACACTAAAAAAATCCCATTTGTATGTGAGTACTAGGAATAACTAGTAACTTAGCCCACCCTCTAAGTAACTCCTATCAACAGATTAAGAATTGGTCCTATTTCAGGAAATCAGCAATATCACTTGGAAAGAACACGTCTAAGCTTTTTTGTAACGGCATGCCTTTCCTGGACTCGGCAGTCTTTTGAGGAGGACGGCTGCTAATACAATAGCATGGCACCTCTCTTTAGGCTCTCCCCACACTGTGACGTAGGATGGCTCATTTTCCAAGGAAGAACACGTAACCAGACACTCACTAAACAGAAACACATTCCACTTGCGGACTTGCGTCTCCTTGGGGACGTGTCTCTGAGGTGGTGCTCTTACCATCGTGCGGCTGTATGACGTAATGGCTTCCTCCGATATAGTCTGCAGAAATGCCGAGCTGAGAGGCATCCGTTGTAGAGCCGTCACCATCCATCTAGGCAGGAGAAGAACTTCTCAGAACTCATGGGGAAAAGTGGCATTAACCCCTGATACGGCTCGATAATCACAACTGTCAGAGGACGGTCCAATGAAATTGTCCATCACCTCCCGAACCCATTGCCACCAAGTCAACTCTAACGCATGGTGCGCCCCGCCCCCCCGGGGGGTAGAGAGTGGAACAGAGCTGCTTCTTAGGGTTCCTGAGGTGAGAACAGATGGCCTCCCTCACCTTTCTCCCCAACGTCTGGGCCAGCATCCCAATGTTGGTGGCTGTGCAACTCAATAGTGTTTTCCAGGCTGTGACCTTTGGGAAGAAAGTCCCACCAGGACTCTTCTGACTCACCAGGGCTCGTTCCTAGCTCGTTACATTTACTAAAATAAAATGGTTCTATTCTCCCATTTGGAAACCTTCCGAGAGCTAGCCAGTGAGTTAAGATTAAGACTACGAAGCAAACACAAGGACAGAAAGAAACCTACAACACGGTAAACCCGTTTCTTTTCAAGTACATAATCCTCAAATATAGTACAGGCAAACCTGACTTGCTTCGTAATTTATCTCTGCAAGGACACTCAAAGCCCAAAGCAGCTTAGCAGCCAACAGGAAGTCATGGGTCCCCACCACGTCAGCTCTCCAGCTGAAGTCTGGCAGCCTTGCGCAAACTCTTCCAAACCCTTTCACTCCTGGAGCAAACTTCCTTTGCAACCACGGAGTCGTCCCAATATAGACAATGGCCTTTGGTTGAAGATGGTGCTGAGCATAGAAGCCAATGGATTCTCCTACCCAATTCTGTACTCATGCAACAATCCGCATCCCTGGCATTTTGAACCTATCGCCTCTGATGGTCTCTCCTTTTCCCAGTCACCCAGTCAGTTCTCACTCACAGTGACCCTCGAGGACAGAGTAGAACTGCTGCCCCGTGAACTCTTCATGGGAGTCGAAAGCGTCCCCCTCCTCCCGTGGACGGCTAGTGGTTCCTAGTGCTCACCTCCCACTGGGCAGCCCAGTGCATAACCACTTCACCACCAGGGACCCTGCAGATGGTGGCCACTCTCTCTTTCTACTACCTTTCTGATTTTTTAAAGGAAAAAAGGGAGGTCAGAGAAAGGAGAGCTCAGCGCACATAAAGAAAAGCACAGAATGAGAAGGCACATCGTCTATTGGCTAAGAAACCTGGTTAATGAATTTTGCTCACAGCTAAAACAACCTCAATAGGGAAAACTGTGAGTGTGTGTGTGTGTGTGTGTGGTGGGAAGCCTTAAGTCACAACGCTTGAACTGGCTCCATCCACCTCTCTCAACAGGACGAATCCTAGACCCCATTAGCCCTTACCAACTCACTACTTTGCAAATAATAAATATCCCAAATGGCGCTGTGTGGGGGTGGAAAGAACAAAGAAAAGCAGTATCTGAACTGAAATAAAAACTGTCCAAAGGCTCAGATCCCGTGTACTTTCTACTGCCTTTAGGCCAAATGAAGCAGCGGACACTGGATCTTGAACGTTTTCTGCTGTTCCCCTCCCCACACTGCTGCTGGGTGACAGCCTTTTGGCGCCGGTGTAAGCTATGGCTGCTGGCTGCTTCTCCAGCTCGCTTGGATTTTAAAAACCTAATACTGAAACACCAGATTGGTTTCCAAAAGCCCTTCAACAACATGGCATGTCTTTAATGCACCTGTTCACCAAACTCACTACCAGATGCCACTCAGAGCCACCCTGCAGGGCAGGGCCCAACGAACTGCCCCTGCGAGTTTGAGACGGTAAGTGCTTGTTGGGAGTACAACGCCCTGGCAGAGGTACCTCAGAAGGCACACCAGGTGATCAGCTTCCCAAAGGTCACAGCCTTGAAAACCCTATTGATTGGGCAGACTGCTGACTGACAGTGGGACCAAGGTGCAGGAGACCGGGCCAAAAGGGTAGTTTCAACAGGCCCTGCTGGAAACTTTGAGGAGGAGCCAAAACAAAACAAAAGCCAACCATGTACAGGAATCTATTACTGACTGAATGCCGCAGGACCCAGGGCTTGTCCCACAAGCTGAGCTTCAGGACCCAGTCCCTGTTCATGTGCCCAGGCAAAGTGTGGAAGACAGAGAGCTTACATCGCATTACCATTTCCCTCGCCCTGGAGTCAGCAGTGAGCTTAAGAGCGCACCCCCCTCTGCCTTCAAACGGTGGGGATGCATGTATGTCCCAGTGTTGTCAGCATGAAGCAAAGCAGAGCAGGTCGCAGGGGACCGGCTCCCTGCTTCGTGGGGTGTCTCTCCTAAGTTCTAGCTGTTCTATCATTTCACCTGGCTGTCTCCTTTGACCACTAAGATCTACTCCCGCACTTTCTTTAAGCCACTGTCCCCTGGAATCATTTCTCCACTCACCCCATCCTTGCAATCCAGAAACTAATGTTACCTTCTTTGAAGCCCACCCACAACCAAGCCTGCCATTTGACATCCACCAGCTGTTGGCCACTGCCGGGTGTAAGGAAGGGGCAACTGGCTACTGACTGGAAAATGAATCCCAGTGGATCCCCTCGGTCTGGGATTCCCAGTGCATGTTTACGACGGTGGGAAGTAAGACGGTGGGAAGTAAGAAGGCCAGCCAACAAGCATTTACTGCATAGGCACGTAGTCCTCATCAGGCTGGGCTCCGGGCTGGCGACCACTGCAGTCAACATGGACAAGGTCTCTGTTCTCATCTTGCAAAGACATCAACTGGGGTCAGGGAGAAGCAGCCTATTGGTAATACTTCCTGGGCACAAGCCTTGGTGTTGGGTTGCCTGGTTTGTGGTCCCAGCTACTTACTAGCCTGTGACTCAGAACAAGTTAACCTTCACTTATAGCATGAGACCCAGAATAGGACCTCGCTCACAGATTAGGAGGCCCCGGGTCAAGACAGCACAGTGCAACAATGTGAGAGTTCACCACACATGCTAGGTCACTGTTCAATCATTACCAATAACTAATTGCTAGTGTCTCATATTGAGAAGGAAAACTGTGTTAGGTGAGCTTGTGCTTCTACAATGGACCTTGGCAAATGACTCAAAGATGAGTAGACACTAGTTAAGTAAAGGCAGGAAAAGAATGTTCCAGACAGAGCACCTTGGTTATGTAGCGTTGCTAAAACAGAAGGACCACACATGGATGGCTATAACAGACAGGTATTTGTTTTTCTGAGTTTAGGAAGCTGTTAATTGCTAGGTGCCGCCGAGCCCATGCTGACTCACAAGGACCCAAAGGAACACCGTGTGGTCTCACACCGTCTTCCCCACTGTTGTTACGGCTGAACCCCTGGTGCAGCCAGTCACTCCATCTCCTTGAGGAGTGTCCTCTCCTTCACTGACCACCTACTACACCAAGCCGATGCCCTTTTCTGGGGACTGGTCTCACCTGACAACATGGCCAGAGTACATGAGAGGACCCCAGTAATCCGGGGCCCTGGGCTCTAGGTGTTCTCACCCCATGGGGTCCAGTAGGAGGCTCTGGTTATATCCTGGTTCCTGGACAATCTGTCTCCTGCATCTCTGCTGTTCTCACTGGCCCGTTTAACTTCTTTAAGAATCATTTTATTGGGGGCTCGTACAACTCATCACAATCCATCCATTGTGTCAAGCACATTTGTACACTTGTTGCCATCATCCTTTTCAAAACATTTGCTTTCTACTTCAGCCCTTGGCATCAGCTCACTTTTCCCCTCCCTCCCTCATTCCCCATTCTCCCTCCCTCATAAGCCCTTCATAATTTATAAATTATTATTTTGTCATATCTTATACTGTCTGATGTCTCCCTTCACCCAGGGAGGAGGTTATATGTAGATTCTTGTGATTGGTTCCCTCTTTCTACCGAACCTTTCCTCCACCCTTCCGGTATTACCATTCTCATCACTGGTCTTGAAGGGATCATCCGCCCTGGATTCCCTGTTTCCAGTTGCTATCAAGACACACCCTACACAAGTCCTGTCTCCATAACATAACAAAGATGGTCCCTTCTCCAAAGGGGCTTAGAGCCACAGGCGGAGGCTAGGTTCTAGAACACATTCCAATCTGCAGCACTGGGAAGACAGGGAGACACAGCAGGTGGGGATAAGCCTGGCTGGGAGTCAACCAAGACGTCCCGGGGACAAAAAGCAAAACCAAACTGACTGCTTCCAGTCGATTCCGACTCATGGCATATGAAGAGTTTTAAGGCGAAGAAAGCAAAGCAGACTTTTCAAATTCAAAGATCACGCAGCACCCCAAAGAAAGAACTGGGAGGGAAGCAAAACGCTGCATGATCCAGGGAAGACGATCCTTGTTCCCAGAATCTGTCCCTGAGCAAGAGCGCTACAGATCCAGAGACCACAGGGAGCTTTTCAGTAGAGAAGTAACAGGCTCTGGTGACTGACTCAACAGGAGCTTGCCACAGATCCAGGATAACTTGGGGTTCCTGCAGCTGGGGAGAGCAGTGGCCGTCTCTGCAGAGACTGGGAGATGGACGGAAGAGACGGCGGCTAGGTGGCACCAGGAGAGCTGACATTCCCAAAAGCAAATCCACTGCTCGTAAGGCAGTTCCAACTCACAACCACCCTAGAGAAGCAGAGCGGCCCCGGTTTCCGAGGTGGTGAGTCTGTACAGAAGCTGAATCCGTCTACTCCGTGGAGCAGCTGGTGGGTTGCTGGCCCGGGAGACCAGAGTGTGCAGTGGGGTGCAGCATGTCCAGTTCGGCCCTCGTTGCCTGGTGTAAGCCCAGAGGATATTGGGTGACATTTCCTCCACGTCTGGGTTTCATCCAGGGACATGCAACGAAGGAGCATGAGCATTGTGACGAGAGATGGGTGACCTATGAATTGTGAGATCTGAGGGAACCAAAGCCCATTCATTTGAATGACTACTTCAACTATTTAGCGGTTCCCTATAAAAACACGAATGTAAGTCAGCTGGCCTTGCTGGTAAACTTGGATTTAAAGTTTACTTTTCTTAAAAGTTAACTTAGATCTTTTTTTTTTTTTTTTGAGAGAGAGAGCAGCAGCATTGAAACTCATTACTTGCTAGGCTGCTAATTGCAAAGTCAGCAGTTCAACACCACCATCTGCTCCACAGAAGAGGAGGCTTCTACTCCTGTAAAGAGTTACGTCTCGGCACGCACAGGGGCAGGTCTACCCTGGCCTGTAGGGTTGCTGTGAGTCAGAATGGACTGGATGGCACTGGGTCTTTTTAAAGAATCGGCTGCCTAAGTACAATAAAATGCCCTCTTCAATGGGCTCAACATTTACCGGATACCTTCTCAACCTCGCATGCAAATGATGCCAACCAAGCAACCGTGAGAAAAGCTGAGGGCTCCAATACCAACCACAACGCGCCTGGCTGACACTGCATCCGGAGCGCCAGATGCCAAGTCGTTCAGGGTACTGGTTCCTGGTTGATTTTTCCTATAAGCCGGATGCCAAATCCTTCTTCTTCACACAGGCTGTGTCCCTGTCATGAAGCAGCGAACCCCAAACTCAGCAGCTATCGCCTCATAGCACGTCTGTAGCACAGGGAAGAACTGCCCGAGCATTTCCAACGTTTTACAAGCGTGAAAAGCCCCGTCTTTCTCCCAAGGAGCAGCTGGTGGTGTCAAACGGACTATGTGAATTGCAGCCTAACTCGTAAACACTACACCACCAGGGCGCCTAACATGCCTAACAGTCCTGTTAAATAAAACCTCAATTCTATGCCCACCCCTGGGAAGGACCATTCTTACCCCTAACAGGCCTGATGCCCCTCTTCGTTCCTATTTCATCTCATTCATTGCATCTGTTTTTGATCCCCCAGGATCCTGAAACCCGTTTGAAAGGTTGCCTGTGATCTTGCCTCCGTCCTACTTGGCTGTTCTGCTTGGAGTGCTGGCCACTACAGACTCTCACTTATGCCGGAATTTCTCTGCTCCTTGGATTTCCAAAGCAATGCTCTGGCCTGGTTGAGGTTTGCCCACTGCTTCAGTTGCTAGTTCAGTCCAAGCTTCTCATAGTCCCTCTCTGCCCTTACTCCCGTAGTGAACTCATAATGATCAAGTCCATGCTCATAAGCCCGTTTTACAACCCATAACCTGCTGCCACTCAAGCAAGCCAGGCCTGCACAACACAGCTGGTCGAATACACCTATCGGTGCAAACGCCAGGAAAATGAAACCGACCTTTCCCACTCCCAGCAAAGAGGTTCCCCACTTTTGCAGGGGGCTGGGAAAGGCAAATTTCTTTTTTCCAAATCTCCCTTTCTCCAGCTATAATTCTATTGAATAATGTTTCCAAAGCTTCCAGGCTAAAAATATCAGATGACTTAAGATTCATCATTTCTCATCTGCTCTTTGATCACTGTCTCAGGGAAGGCCTCCCTTTTCCATTTCCCATGCCTACCTTCAATACCAGAGGGCTTCAAAAGTGCAGGGGAAAACAGAGGCAAGAGACCATGGAATTTTCCCACAACCTGTTTGAAGGCCTGACAGGTGGTTTTCAGATGTTGAAATATCAAGGAGCCCTGGTGGCCAAGTGTCGGTGCTCTGAGCCCACCAGCTCTCTGCAAAAGAAAGAAGGGGCAGCCGGCCTCCGTAAAGATTACACCCAAAAAAAGCACACTGCCACCGAGTCAATGCCAACTCGGAGACCCCATCGGACAGGGTAGAGCAGTCCCTGTTGAGTTTCTGAGACGGTCTCTCTTTACGGGAGTAGAAAGCCTCGTCTTTCTCCCTCACAGAGCAGCTGGTGATTTCGAACCGCAGACCTTGAGGTCAACAGCCCAGTGTGTAACCGCTCTGCCACTAGAGCTGCCTTGGACACCTGCGGAGCAGGCCGGCTCTGCCTCCAAGGTCATCAGAGTTGGGTCATTCGGCTTGGTTTTCTTCAGTTTTGATAGCTTTAAAAGGATTCCTGGTGGGTGTGTGCTGCCAGGCTGCTAACGGAAAGGGTGAGGTGGCTCAGCAGGAGGAAAAGACCTGCTGGCCTGCTCCTGCCAAGGTTACAGCCCTGGAGAGGCTAGGAGGCAGTTCTGATCTCACACAAGCCTGTGATCGCCAGGACAACTTGACGACACACCCCAGCAACACAGCCCGGGCACCTCTCCTGGTTCCCCAAGTTGTCCGCATCAAATCCAAAACAAACACAGTCTTC